CCCCTCTTCAGGAATAAAAACACAAGTCTGAGTGTTTCTCCTGATACCATATAAATGACAGTCACCTCAGATAGCCTGCAATTTCTCTTCTCCTCTCAGTTGCCCGATGAGAATATTGTTTTGTTGGGTTTCTTTTAAGAGAAAAACATTTATGTACTTGTCTATTTTCCTTTCTCATGCACATGTCATTTCTCAGGAACATACTGATACTTTATGCTTTTCTTCAATATGTTTAAGGGTATATTCGACTATTTCATTAAGCCTTAGTTACATGCTATTCAGTGTTTTCAACATACAAAGTAGTGTTAAGTCAAAGTTTCAACACGGGCTTAGAGCAGCATGGCTGCACTGATGTCTTCTCCTCAGTTCTGCAGTTCTGGTCTCCCTTGCTGCTGTGCACTAAGTTGGACCAATTTGGTGATCCAAATTAAAACTATACTATGAGCAAAAAAAAACAAACCACAGTTTGAATTAGGAAGCTCTGTGAGCAATAAAAGCAATGCAAGAGAAACAGCGCCAAAATGCTGCTGATGGGAGGGTAAGGGTTTATGTCAGCTTAAGATAATAAAAATACATCTTTATAGCACTTTCATGTGTTGAAAACAGTGAACAGACACTGGTTAGGTGTCAAGAATCTGAGGCAAACCATGACTAATTTCAGGATTAGTTTATGCAAATGCTGCAGGTATACATCTCTTCCTTTCCACTTCTTTCTTCTTCAGATTTTCTATCTCTGAATATGATCTAGTCACTGCTTAGGTGGGAACTTTTCAAGAAAACCCAGAATACCAGCAAGAGTGGCATTAATGACTCAGTAAGTTACACATACATTCACCTCTGATTCAGTGCTTCAACACAGTAGTAAAGGTTCTCTGTTCTATTTCTAATGCCATCCTTCCAAGGGTTGTCTGTCTAAAAATACGAATGCTACTCAGGAATCGCCTCTAAGGTAACTTGTGGCTCACGCTTACTGGAAGAGAGGGTTGAATTTGCTACAGTGGTGAAATTCTAATGTGTGTGCTTTTATTCATCCCAAACCTCTGAAACATAAGTTGCTGTAAGATTTTTCATTTCCCCTGAACAAATGTGGGCAGCATTGCTGTGTGCATTACATTTAGATATCGTGTTGTAAAAACTCAGTTGAAATTCTGAGTGATTCTATTCCTTCCTTTGTAAGTATTTCAGGGTGCTTCAGTCTGAACTTTCCTCTATAAGTATGACTCAGTAACATGGTGCACAATTTGCAAATCATTATATGGTAATTTTATTTCACATCAATAAGTGTTGGGGTTTTCAAGTTTCTGGTTGTTCATAAGACATAAGAGCCCAGTATACTTTGAGCCGTTTATTCTCTTAAGGCTGAGCAGAATTTATCCCATAAGCAAAGAGCAGTCTGTTTTGATAGCAACTTACATTAGGTTTAACAGGTCAGTGTTTTCAAATGACGTCAAAGTTGTAAATGGCTTTACAAAACATTCTTGTAACAGTTCTGAAAGCCTGTGTGACAGTTTTTCTAATTAACTTATTTAGCCTAGTTTTGGAGTAACATTAGCTGTTTCATCATTTTTAGGCTATTTTGAGTAGTATTTGTGGCACCATTAATAAGCCAAGAATTTATAGGGTTCCTTAATCATACAGATTACTCATCATTGCCTGCTCATAACAGAAGCCCGAAATGCTCATTAACATTCTCTGATGTGAATCAAAAGTTAGTAGAGTTGCACAATAAAATGACAAGAGAATAGCATTATATTAGCAAAAAATAAGAATTTGGAACACCGGTTGCAGAGAAAGTGAAGCTTCCAGGCTTATATGTATATCAATACTCTAATTTTGTTTAATATGGGAAATAAAAATAGGCTTCTGAAATGAAGAATTGGAGAATTGGTGTGAAAGGATTGGCAGTCGTGCCTGAAATGTAATAAGGTGAGGGTTTGTTTACAGTGAGCTACAGAGGCCTGCTGCCTGGTCTTGCCTAGTCTGTTAGCCTATTTTTAAAATTGGCTAATTATAAATCACTGTTCCAACTTGATCCTTTGCCCTTTGCCTTGTACCTTTCCATCAAAACAATAAAAAAGGTCATCTCCCCATCTTCAACAAGCTGTTTGATTCCCACAGGCAGTTGTTGTGCCATGCTGCTTGTAACATTGAAGCCCAGATTCTCATCTCACCAAGCCTGTTTTTTCACCAGTGCAATTATGATGCTTCCATTGGACCTGTGTGTTGATGCCAACATAACTGAGACAAGAGTTAAGTCATGGTCTGGTTACTGTTAAAACAAGAATATATATGGTTGAAAGTACTTCTTGAGAATGCGTATGAACTCAGCACAGCGCTATTAGCAGATGTCTGCTGGGATGTCGCAATTCTTAATTTTTGTCTAAAAATATATTAGCTTTTTGTGGAAACAAATTCTATTTAGAATAAGCTGTAATCTCTGAAAAGTACCCTAAGGAAGGAAAATGAATTGAGACTTGATATCATTTTCAGACTGCAGAATTTAAATGAGAAGGCAGCCTGAGCCAGTGAATTGAGCTGATCTCTATTTTTGATTTTGCTACTGGCTTCTTGGCTGACCCAAGGCACAAAAAGGCAAAATGATTTACCTAAATTTCATGCCCAAAAAGTAGGAATAATGTTTTTGTTCTGCTTTTTAAAGCGCAGTGAGATCTGTGGATGAAAGCAATTATACAAGAGCTGCTATTACTATTTCTTACCAAGCCTGGGTGAAACAACTACTCTTTACTGAATGTACATGATGTTGGAAGTGTGCATGGAGTACCCTGGCACTAGCTGAAGAGGAGCTGAGTTTTGTGGCCTTCATTCTCTGGTCCACAACCATCACTACTTTGTCTTCCAATGGCAAAAATAGCGATAAATTATAGATGTTACCATGAATAAACATTACTTATATACACTCATTACACCTTATTCCCTGAAACCTTACAGTTACTCACTGTTGTAAGCAACCTGCCAGATGCTGCTGTGGGTAGTTTTAACCTAGCAATCCTTTCCATGTATAAGGTACCTACAAGTATGCTTCTAAAATGCTGTTGTATTTTTATTTAAAATGGTTTAAGCATTTTTCAACAGAATGATCCTAGCTCTGCCTCTCTCGAAATAAAGTGAGTGCCATTAGGTGTATGTGTGAGCCTTCTGGGCTTTCTCTGTGGTTGCTCACATGAAATAAACCTGCTGGCTGGGCACCATACCCTCACACTGAAATCAGGGGTGCTCTGTTAGTGAGCATCCTTACTTAGAGACTGCATCCTCACCTGCATCTCTCCAGAAACTGTAACTACTGATGAAGCACAGACCCGTAACAACTCCTCCAAAGGAAAAATCTTAATTTCTGGAAGCTCAGGACTTGTTTGGGTTTGCTAGTTTAATTTTAGATTTTCTTGATTTCCTAATGATCCTAAGCCTTTGGTCCTAAGCCTTTGGACTGATGGGTGCTGAAATGGAAAATCAGTAGGGAAAATTGTTTTCGTTTTCCTGTGAGTAAATCAGGTTGTGCATTGTCATTAATTCAGAAGATTTTGTGAGCTCCAATATGCCTCAGAAGTTGCAGCATAAACTCAGAAAGTAATCTACACGTATTCTTCATATCCTTTACAAAGAGCACTCTGTAGTGATTTGCTAGTGCAGAAGCACATCACTTTTTTTCGGAGCTGGAGGGCTGGCAACTTTGAAGCTGTGGGAAGATTTTTGGGGTAAACTAACGTTATAAATTAACAAACAGATTGAAGTTAATCTCTTCCTCATTAGGGCACATTCCTCTCTGTTCTTTCAGATTCCCCTTCCACACTTTTCTTTCCTGCAGGCTTTTGGAAACCTGTCTGAACTGTCATTGACTGAACGGGTCACTAGTACATGACAGATAGGAATCCCCCCCTGCACACATGTTGTGAACTTGTTTGTAGCTTAAGAGATAGAAAGAATTACATTTTAAAACTTGGTGCCTGGAATGTATGGCTTGAGAAGGCAAAAATTTTGGTAACCCAACTGCAGTAAACACAGTTTTGTGTTACATATTTTAATGGAAGTGGCGAAAGTAAGCTAGCCTTTTGCATCCCTTAGTGACATGATTTAGTGCTGGTCTTGGCAGTGCTGGGGGAACAGTTGGACTTGATGATCTTGAGGGTCTTTTCCAACCTGGTTGATTCTGTGATTCAGAGAAATTCCTCCACATAGTCTCAGTGGTGTCTTTTCTCTTCCTTTCAACTTCTGCTGGAGATAGCAAAGCATCTGGTAGGGTTAACAGAATTACAGCTTTGTTTTCTTTTTTCCAAAATGGGAATTAAACCAGAACACACTCCTGATGGGTCTCCGCTTGTATTAGTGCATCTGATTCTGGGCACCCATCCCCAAAAGGATGTAAATGCAATTGGACTGCATTCAAGAAAAAAATATGCTGAGAAGTTGTAAAGCTTGATTTGTGAGAGAAAAACTTCACAAAGGGAAAAGTTACATACGTACAGTGCTCCTGAGTGACAGCAGAGGGGAGGAAGGTTTTGATACCAATCTACAGTTTGGAGGGGTGTGAACACCAACAGAGTGAAAAATTACTGAGGGTGGTTCAAGAAGGTATAATTAGATGTAATGAAATTAAATGAACAATATGTAAACTTGAACTGAATGTTACAGTAAAACATGAGCAGTGAGACTATAGATTTATTATTTATCTGTATTGAGTTAGCACTGGGGAATCCCAGGCAGGGATCAAGTGCTTCTTTTCCTGTAGAAACATGAAACATGAACAAAAGAAATGCAGTACCTCTCTTGAGTAATAAACAAGAAGCTTGACTGGGTGGCCTATAAGGAATAAACTTAAACTGGTGGGGTGTGGAGTAGAGACCCTAAAAGGTCTTTTGAGTCTTTTTTGGTCTTACTGGCTGGCTGTTGGACCATTCAGGATTATAAGAACGTAACTCTTATTTTGAAGATGCTTGTTATTTTCAGTCACTAATGCATGTAAATATTGCTTTAAATTGGAATAGCCTTACTACACGGTTGCCAAAAGCTGGAGAAACCGTCCTTGGACATAAGTTTTTCATTGGTTTTGGTGGGAAAGGAGCCAACCAGTGCGTCCAGTCTGCTCGACTTGGGGCCAAGACCTCACTGATCTGCAAGGTAAGCACCGACTTGCTCTTGGACTACAGCTGAACTAAATGTTTATGCAAATTCCAGTAAACCTTTAGGTGATTTACAGAAAAGTTTCTCGTGGTTTTGCGTTTTCTTTTTTGTTTTAATCCCTCTCTAATTCTCTTTTCTTTTCCTTACTTCAGCTATAAATTTAAGCATGGAGGAGGCTGTTCTTAAAAACACTGCCAGAACCAAAGACTAGTTGGCTAGAGATCTGGCAGAAATTGCATGTAAAGAAGGATTGCGAAACTTAAGATTGATGCACCATGGAAAAGAGAATGGGAGAGACATTGAGATGTTTGAAATTCTAGTAATCTTGGTTAGCCTCTCCTTTTTATGTTCACCACTGTTGCAAAGATCAGGGCTTCTTCTATGACATTCAAGTGCTAAGTGCTACAGTCAATCTGAAATTTACTTTGTAAGTGATTAAAAACCAGACACTGACATGCCAGTAACAACTTTGAGAAGCAGTGCAAAACTTTCTGCTTCAAGGGTTAAATCATTATCTCATTACTTGGGATTAGGATGAGATATTCACATCCAAATCCTAGCACCTTTGCATGCTATGGGATTTTTTTGCCCACTTTTCTGAAGCATCTAATACGCAGCCGTTCTAGCGGCTGGCTCACAGACCATGGGGCTGATTCAGGTTGGCAGATGCTATATTCTTACAGTGACTTTGTTTCATTTTTGTCATTAAACGTTATAAGTTTTGGGTGATCATTATCAAAGTTAAGATCAAATTTTCTCTCTCTGTCTCCCTATTGTCCATACTGTGCCAACTGTAAATGAAACTTCAAATTGACAGGGTATGCTTTGTTCTTGCCATAGCTGGGGAGGATGCTAAATTTGTTGGATCATTGTCTGTCAGGGATTTTTTGAGAAATACTGGAAACATCTCAAGCCTTTCTCACTGGTTTCCCAATCCAATCTTTAAGCTAAAGAATGATAGCTATAAGTCTAAATTACACCTGCAATAATTTCTGTCATTATCACTAGTTGTTCTACAGTGTATTTTGTGTATGTATATGTTGGCAATGTTTGTGCTTCTGTAATACTGTGTATATTTGATCATCTTTGCATTCAATAACAATCAGATTCAAGTACAAGATGAACTGGCAATGAATTCCCTGCTAACATTTCCTGCTAAATGTTAGCAGGGCTTTTTTTCCACTGAAAGTGTGAATTTTGTTTTATTTTTTAATGGTCTAGCCTTTGCTCAGTGCATACATGTTTCTGGAAACATTTGCATTCCTAATAAAATTTAGCAGTTACTATAATTTCTAATTACTTTCCAAAACCATATTTATGTTATTTCATTAAAACCCAGTCTTCTTTCTTTCATTCTGATGTGTATTTATTGGAGCAAGGAAATGGCAGAGATTGACTGTTAATATCCATATTTTGTATTTTTTTTAGATTTTAAAAGTCAATATTTACTCTCTGAATTAATTATGCGCTTGTAGCCTCCCAGAATAGTCTCATCCCATGGGAGTACAGTCTTATATCTGCAGAGGTCAATGGGACGTAGTATAAAGTTTCTTGCTGTGTAAACTAAGAAGAGTCAGGCAGTAATGAGCCATTACAATTAGATTATCTTTAACAAGTCATCATGAGTATTCAGTGGCTCTTAAAGCCAAATTTCCCGTCATACACACACAATGCTCAGTAGTATGCTTATGTTTTGATCATAATTCCCAACATTTATTTTCCAGTACAACAATTCCCTCTACGTTCTGAAGTTCACAGAATAAAATTGGTATTAATACTAGAGGGATATTGTGCTGGAGTGTGGCATCCTCTTACAAGGACTGTAATTTAGACTGAGGATATCCTCAGCAAGAGTAGCAGCAGACATCTCAGATCAAATGACAAGGCACTCTTCATACTTCCAAGCTTTAAAACACAAAACAGAGCCAGTGACTATCTGGTGAGAGTTTGAGAGAAGAGGGAGTTTTAGAATGACTTACAGTTCTGACTAGAGATGCCACAGAATGCTGTGAATTTTAATGTAAAATCAAGTACTGAGTTTGAGTAGTGGAAATGCAAACTGTGGTGTGCCTGGATGTCTCTGCAAGTGGCCGCTGTTACTCTGGGTTATCAGTATGCATCACAGTGTCAGTCTGAAACTCCCCTCCTCAATTTGCTCAGTACAGTAAAACAACATATTGATGGAAAACTTGCCACTTCAAAAAGACAGAGACAGTTCAGAGAAAAGTAATGGATTACTGTCTGGGAACTAAAGGAAGCGAGCAAATTAATTCATTGCTCGTTGCTCATGCACAATGCACAGTGGTCTTGAGAAATTTTGAAGTCCCAAACATTTTGGGGTTTTTTGGGGTCTTTTGGGGGGTTTTGTTTGTTTGTTTGGTGGCCATTACCAAAAAAATCAGTTAAGCATCCTGGATTAAGATGATGGAGGGATGTTGGTCTGAAAGGCATTGTGTGTACCAAAAAAAGTCCTGGTTTACTTCTGACAAACAATTTAGAATCCTCCTCACTGGACATAGATATCAGTAGCCTGACAGTGCACATACTAAATTCTACTTAAACACCAGCTGCATTTGATTCCTGCTTAGAAATAGGAAGAGCTGTATTACCATGCTATATAGTCTCCTCTTTTTAAATGATCTGTAAGCCAAATTTAAGTTCAAGTTCTGTAAGCACTTTATTGTAAGAATACTTTATTTTTTCACTTCATTGTAAGAACATAGCTGTATTCAGATGCAGCCCAGAATATGATGGATAACATCAATTGTTTTTTCCTTCTGTATTACTGTCTTATACTAGTTTTTAGTACTTGTTTAATTCCCTAATGGAGAAAAAAGAGCATATAGAACAGATTAAGCAAACAGTTGTTAAGAGGTACATGATTTTATTGCAATTAATTTTCAGGTACAGAGGAGTTTGATTCTCTCAGCTGCTAGAATTTTAGCTTCTGTGATGCCAGCCAGGTCCCTTAGCTCCACATGGAAAACATGATGGTGAGCAGGAAGAAAGCAGACTGAAAAATACTGATGTAATTCCACTTGTTCTAATATGCAAACTATGTGACCATAATGCTTGTACAAACAGTTTGTTGTTAAGGACTCAAGAAAGAAGAAATGCTATTTCAGCACATACAATGTTCTGTGGTCAACAGACCAAGACATTTATTTTTTCTGTTTATCCAATAGTCCATCTAGCAAGGACTGTGCAAAAGCAGAAAATATTTAAAACAATGTTACATAATTTGACATGGTCAGTAAATATGCCTTTAATCTAAAATGAGTCTGATGCCCAATACTCTCTCCTCCTTGGGGGTAAAGCCTGAATGGAAAGATAAGCCCTTCAAACGTGCTAGGATTAACTGGGTTAGATACTGATGAACTAACATGGGAAAAAGTTTCCAGAGGAAAAGGACCTCCATGGAGACCCCTTCAAGGGCTTCCCTCCAGCACTGCAGTGTCTTGCTGTGAGCAAAAGTACCACGGCTGATCTCAGTTGTTGTGACAGTTGAACAATAAGGGATGCCTGTCTGTCAGTTATATAGGACCCAGAACTGAAGGAAGGAAGTTTCAGTTGAGCTTTTGGAAAATTGTTATGAAATATTTTGTTGCTGAAATAACTGAGCCAATCCTAAGATTTGTTGTAGAAGCTCTGTAGCAGCAAGGCAGGGAGAAGGTGATACCATCAGGCGGAATGCATTCTGGTAGTACAGCTGTTAGGCTGCAGAGGTGAGCACAGCTCAGGTTGAAATCACAGATGGCTGCAGTCATCCAGCCTGAAGCAGTCAGAAGATGCAGCTTCTGACAACCCGCCCTGTCTGGCAAACTGGGAGTAGTCAGAGATACAGAAATACTCTAATGTGCTAACAATGAATAACACAGTGACCCACAGAAATGTTGTTGGTTGGAATTTATTTTCCATGTACTAGAGGAATGTTCTGTCTGCTTAGACTGTTTTGACTTAAATTGCTGTCCTCATCTGGTAAAAGATCAGGACCACCCCTAATAATACTTTAGCAAAATCCCTTATAGAGATTGTAGGAAATGAAAGCATGTTTCAAAACATGGTTGTGCAATAGGACACGTGGGGGAGGGTTATCCATCCATGGCACTTTAAATTATAGAATTCTGAATCTCAGGGTTTGATTGTTGTGATCAGTAGCTAGTGCTCAGGCCTTCTCTGAGCTTTCTAAAGTACTGAGCTCATGAATAGACTAATTTCTAATAGCAGGCAATAGGGACAGCTGCTCTGTGCTTCCAGTAACTCAAATATACCATTAGCTGTTTTATGAGAAGGTGGGTCATTAGTTAGGGCTTCCCATTTGCTGTTTAGACTGTGACCAGGATCTTGATTTAGCTTCTAATCTGAAAGACGTTTCCTCATGTAAAAATACTTCCTGTAGTACTGGTCAGCCTTTGATACCACTCAGATACAAAACTTAACCTTGGAACTGGGAGCACACACTGTGCATGCTGAAGACATAGACTAAAAGAAGTGAATTTGAAACTATGTTGGCTTTCTAAATATATTTTAAGTGTTATTTTGACATCAGGCAAGTTACACCATTTTTTTTCTCCACATACCTCATCTCCTTTGTTCAGCTTGTGTAATGTTACCCAAAAAAATTTGCTAGTCTGAATAACCAGCAAGCACAATTCAGTTCAGCTAAAAGGATTAGTGGAGCTGAAATTACAAACTCTTTAACTTGCTGTTAGAAAAACAATAGAGCATAGCTTGACTTCCCAACTCAACTTAATCTGCTGCTGCTGCATAAAGCAAACAAAATGTGTTGAATTTGTAAACAGTACATTTAGTGCTGAGAATTACAGAAATCATCGATGCCATATTTATCGTCCCTTTTTGTCCTATAAGGACCGTTTGATATTTTTCCAGGTAGAAAATTCAAAACATGAAATGCAACTAAAAAGGACATGGGAGTTACTATAAATGCTTTCAATTGGAAGCTGAACGATTCAGTACTCTTCCAGATTTTACAATCCCCAGAAAGCTTCAGTGCCAGGTGATATTAAGAGAATGAAACCTTAATATAGCAACATTGTTGTACAGGAGGGGAAACTGCAGAACACTATTCCTATTGGTTATTAATGCTATTAATACATTTTTAGTATTATTTATTGGGTTATTATTTGTTTGTTAATACAGCAAAGTGCTGCAAAAGAGAAAGTATTACATTCAGATTACACTAGAGGATTCTGTTGTGTAAAGATGATCTATCTATCCTCTCACCTTTCTGTAGAGAAAACCTATCCTTTTGTCTTTTGTATAGGTTGGGAAGGATTCCTTTGGCAATGATTATGTTGAAAATTTGAAGAAGAATGGTATTTCTACAGGTAAAATTTTATTTTAAAGAAACCTTATGTATACTTTTTAAGCTTTAAAAGCTGGCAGTGGAGGGTTTCTAATTTTATTGCCTTATTTGATGTTTTGCCATTCAGAACTATGAATAATTATTTTGACACAACTGGCAGGAATGAATGAATATGAGTGAGAATACGGGGACTTCTGAAATCAGCTGTACCACTAAATATAAAATACAGTGTTGTTACCTCTAAATCTCAGCTGATTACATCAGTGGAATTCACCTGAAGATATCTTGGAGAAATACAATTGTTTAGGCTGGCATTAATGATTGTAGTGCCTGTGAGAAATTGAAAACTCCAGTCTGATTATTCATTCTGAATTTCATGTTGGGAACAGAAGGATAGAGTGGAAATGCATTTGTCAACTCAGTGCATCTCACCTCTGTTCTGTGAAATGACACATGCAGTTGTTTTAGAGACTGCAACCGATGTTTGTTAACACATACACACAAAAATCAATGTTAAAGGCTTTCAGAGTAAAGGGAAAATTAAACATTCACAATATTCTAGATATCTTTGCATCTTTGTAAGCCTAATTCTTTCTCTTATGTAAATGTATTATTGTGTGCTGCTGGACTACATGATCACATTTTTGTCTGCATGACTCGTCTCCTTCAGGGTGGACAAGGATGGGCAGATGCAATCATTAAGTGGCAATTCAATATTCTGTTTATCTTTTCTGCTTAATGTTCAGCCACAGGCTTCATTTACTGCATTCAAATCCTGCTTTAAAGACAGAACTATCAGTATTTTGTGGGCTTTTTTATTAGGCTTATCAGTACAGCATCTAAATATTTCACCAGTGCGTATACAGGTTTATTCATTGTGTGTCTTTCAACTTACCCAAGAAACCAAGCAAGGATACCATAAAAATAATGTTTGTTAATGTACAGTCATAAATCTCTCCAAAGCATGCCTACCTCATGAATAAAGACTTTGATCATGTAAATAAAGCTATTATAATGCATAGCACTTAATGAAAATGTATATTCCACAAGGAACCTTAAATTTGATGTTTTCTGATTTAAGTGATTGCTTTTGCAAGTTTAACATAGATTTTTTAATAGTCTTTATAGCAACAAAAGAAAAAATCAGACAGGGAAGAAAAAACTAGACAGGGAAAAAAAAAATCAGAAATTCCATCATGTTGCACTTCCTTGATACCTAGATAGATCAAGTGAAAGGTTGGAAGTTTTAGGTCCAAGTTACCAATTTCTGCTGATTGAGTTAAAGATACCTCAGAATGTTGTTAGTAACCCCCATGTTGATCAGCCCTGCAGGAAGATAGGATATAGTGCTGGTGATGCTGGCCCAGGATCCCAGCTTGCATTCCAGGATTTGCAGGCAAGGGTGATTTAGTGTGCACAGACCTTTTTGCTTAGTACTGTCTTACTTCAGTCACTGTCTTTCCATCTCAGTTTCATTCTTGTCTAGCCTATCCCTGTTGTTATACATAAAGATACCGGCTACTGGATAAAAATCCTTGCTGTAATACCAGTTCTGCCAAATTTCGTATCCTGGATCCCTGTCGTATGTTTTCTTTGCATCACTTTTCTGTTTCCTAATGTATCATCTTACCCCTTTTCTTTCCAATTTCAAGCCATTTCTCAATTTTCTTTTCCCAGTCTTCTTGTCTTCCACAGTTTCCACAACAATCGGCTACCAGTGCTGCTCAGACCATTTAGACCTTTACTGATGTAAACTGGGCAGCTTGCAGCTCATGCTGCTTATTTCCTTCAGGAAGAGCACTGAGAGCACAGAAGACACAAGTTTTCAATGCTAGTGTGCAGACTTAACTCATGGTGAAGAGAAGCAAAGAAAGTTCTGCTCTGAGCCCTGTAACTCTGAGCTAGATAAGGGTACCTCCAGGGCAAGTACCTGGAATACTTTAGCAAACCTGAATGAGCATGATGTTATGTGTTTTTTCAGCCTTGTTCAAATTTGAGCAGATTTCTAAATTGCCTGCAAAAGGCACATCTGAAGAAAGAAGCCAACTTCTGCCTAGCATCAAGTCCACATTCTACAGTGTTAGAACACGAGAGCTTCTTAAAAAGGTCACCAGAATTTGTCTCAAATAGTAGATTTTTCTCAAATACAGGGTTTGTTTTGTTTTGGTTTTTTTTTTTGAGGGAGAAACAACTCAGCTTATTTTGACAGTTTTCTACTACAGTTCTCCCTAAAAAACCCCTCCACCTATCATTTGTTTAGTATTTGACAAATTTGCTGATGGCTGAAAGCAGGTTCTTATAGTAGTAAACATGGAACAATCTTTATAACAGACAGTGCTGCCAGCCTCACTTCGAGTTAATTTAGCTGAATAATAATCCAAAGAGGAAACATCGCCTCACCACTGCTTTTATAGCACATGTTAATATTACTGCTGAAATGCAAATCTACACACAATTAAATGCTGTGTTGTTTTAATATTTTTGTTTTCTCCAGCCTTGACTCTTTTGTTTCATTGGATAAAAGAAATACTTCCACGTAGGAGTAGAGTGCCTGAGAAGGCTGTATAAATAACATGCTTTTTCTAAAGCAGAGATGTAGCCAAATTAAAGAATGTTGGACTCGCATTTCTGTTTTGTGGGTGTAAATTAACACTTTTTGTTGTTGTTAGCTTCTCTGGCATTGTTGCACATGAAAGAGTAATTAGCATTTTTAAATTACTGGAGGTTATGGGTTCATTTTAGATTTAATTCAATTAAACTGCATCACATGCTATTGGTTGAAAGTAATGTATTGAACTAATGCATGCTGTAACTTTTCCCTTTCTTAGCATTTGTAGGTCAGACTGCAGATGCTGCTACTGGAACTGCTTCAATAATTGTCAACAGTGAAGGTACATATTTCTACTCTGAATTGTCCTCTTTGTTCTGCCTCTACAGCCATAAAAGAAACCTTTGCCTTATTGCTGTTAATTGTGGAATTACTTTTTTTCTACATCTTTATTTTTTTCAAGATTTTATTCATACTTTGTGGAACTTCCTTCTATTTCAGACAGTGTTGTAGGATGAGGTGCCTAAAAGTGGCAGAATTCAAATACTTAGATTTGCACTGTGATTGCCATAATTCAGTCAGCCAGCTGATCTATCTAGTTTTACATTGGCCAGAGCACATGGTGTAGCAGAAGGTTAAAGCTCTCCTTTTCCACTTTTACTGTAGAATCATTGAATAATTTAGGTTGAAAAAGACCTTTAGGGTCATTGAGTCTAACCGTTCACCTAACACTGCCAAGTCCACCACTAAACCATATCCCTGAGCACCACTTCTACAGGTCTTTTAAATACCTACAGGGATGGCAACTCAGACACTTCCCTATATCAGCCCTTTCCAACTCTTGACAACCTTTTTGGTGAAGAAATTTTTCCTAGTGTGCAGTCTAAACCTTCCTTCCCTGGTGCAACTTGAGGCCATTTCCATTTCCTCGTGTCCTGTGGGGAAACGGTTTCCCTCGTCAGCACTCTGAGTCATTAGGCCTTGAATCAGGAAAAGGAATTGTCCTCAGTATAAATAGAAATATTTATGTTGATCTTGTAATATTACCACAATTCTTGATCCCAAGTTACATCTGCTGTGATGCATGCACAGTGAAATGGCATATCTGTTTTTTCTATGTTAATTTTCCTTAGTCTGTGTCTTTGCTGTCATACCGCAGAGGAAGAAGAAAAGAAAATTTGTCTTGTTTTCATATTCTTCTTCAGGGTTCCTAAATTATCCTCTGAAAACTTTGCATCTTTTCCTCAAGCAAGTTGTGCTGTTGAGAGCTCTTAGGAGAAGTACGTGTGTCTGGATCAAAATGTAGAGCTCAAGAGACTGATAATGGTTGTGCAAACGTAACAAATTAAGCGTGATTGGGTGGATGGATTAATTTACTTCAAGTTCAGCTAAAAGCTTTTATTTGAACAGTTACCATAGTTTAGCTACGTGTTGATTTAACAAGCTTTGTAACCTGATGGTAGTACATTGGGCTACAGCTCAAAATGGGAAAGGAAACATGACTGTTCACTCCAAGAGCAGACCTGGGAAGGAACTATGACTAAAGGCAAGTCTACACAGGAACATTTGGAAAATTAGGCAAATTAGTTGGAGATGTCAGTTTAATTTTCTGTAAGTAAGATTAATCAAAGCCTTGCATGACAGCTGTAATTCAGAAATAAGGTAGCTCTAATACATGGAATAAACTGGATACCTGCCTCTTATTTCCACCCCTTTCTCTTGGTTTACATCACCAGATGAATTACCACAGCAACTCTTAAGAAAGTCTCTCTTATACCACATAGAGTCACTACTCTTGCCATTGTAAATAGTGAGAAAAAACTAGCATGCTCCCAGGCCTCACTGTTTTGTACATGTAACCATGATTTGCACAAAGTTTGCTGTCCAGAATAACTGAGCAAGAAGCAGTCTTACTACTTCCAGATCCACATGCATAGCCTGCTAGGATAGACGTGGTCTAAACTTGAATGAACAGAGAGGATGACCTCTTAAAATTATAACACCATGAATCTTTCTGGAGGCTAATGAACAAAACCATCTTGTGGATCTAAAACCTTTATAAACATCAGGAATGGAAACTGATTGTTCAGTGGCACAAGTTCATAGTAGGCTGTCTTACATGTTAGTGTCAAAGGGTCTGTGACAGTCTTGTGATTCACATAGTAAGATGAATAATGCAAAATGTCGTGTAATTTCTTTCTCTGAGAAACTGAAAAAATCCTTAATTAAGTTACCACTGGCCTCAGATTTCATATAAAATCTAGTAGAAGAGCAAACCTGGTCAGAACTATACGACAAAGCAAACACTTGCACAGAATTGGTAATGGTTCTGGTTGTAGCTTCTCTTAGAGCTGGTCCTTGAATTGTGTAAATTGCAACAAAACAGCAATGCTTTTGTGCTTTGCTGTTGCAAGAGACATCTTTTTCTTCTTTTTTGTTTTTTCCCCTGTAGAAACCTGGCTGATTTGACTTAAACAGGTTTTACAGCACTTTGCAGAGGGCTTGTCTACGCATGTATGTTTTACCGCAGTAGTTGTGCTGGCATAGCTGAAACACCACAGTATTAAATGCACTGATGTAAAGTAGTTTGTGCTAGTTCAAATTATACCTAAAAGGGAAACATTTGAAGTTGGGGATGGTGGTGCTGTTTTGTGTTAACAATGAAGGACAAATAAAAAAAACATAAGTATCATCTCTTTAAATCACCAAGTTTTAATTGCTGTATTTTCACACACCTAACCCACACTTACAGCTTACCAGTTCTTTACAAGTACTGATACATGAAAAAAATGCCAACTCCAATCAACTGAATAAAATTGCAGGCAGAAGCAGGGGAGATACTCAAGTAGAGGGAGCAGACAATGACGGATGAGTGAATGCAGAGGAAAAGAAAGCTGTAGAGAGCAGAGTCAGAGGAGGCTCTGAAATAAACTTTCCCTGGTGTTACCTGCATCTGTCTAGCCAGTGCTGCTCGATTTCTGGGAAGCTTTTTGCTGGTTACTGAGTTGCACAGCTATAACTCACCCATTATTGTAATTGGCAAAGTACTAAAAATTCGGCACTTATCAGGCACATCTGATATTCTCAAAGTTGTGATGTATTCTGGGACAAGACAGTATAACTTCAATAAGAGAGATTAAATTGCTGCTTTAATGCAAAATGGTGGAGAGATGTATAATGAGTTTATAATGCTGCACTGGAAAATATGCAGCCCAGAGACACTGCAAAGTTTCCCTCTGGACTGGTCTCAGAATTCTGTGCAGAAATCTTTCTGGAACCTTGTGTTCCTTTCAGTTCCCTTTACGCGATTGCCTATTCAGATAGATTTTGATTAAATACAAGCTTCAGTTTACCAGGACCCTATACACTTTGAACCTGTACTTTCTCCCTTAAAGAGAAAAGCTGGTTTATCTGGCTGCTTTTCTGAACGCATTCTCTTTTAAGTGCATCACACCACTTTGAGCCCCAGCTTTTGTTTCCCCTTTCAGCCTGCCACCTTTCCGCTAGCTCTGTCACTTAGCACACCTTCTGCTAACAGTGTGCTATTAAGTGGTAAGAATGCCATGAATTGAAGATGTGTGTTGCACTCTTACATACACTTACAGGGGAAAAAAACCTCTTTATGGGTAATATTTTACATGATCACCTGTGAAGTTTGTTGCAGCTTTGTCTATATCTAGTACTGAATGTTGACAGTGCCATCAAGCTAGCCTGGCTGGACCAATAGTTAGGACTGGTCTGACAACTTCAAGGTTCATAGCAGAAATTAAATGGAGGGACAACAGAGGTTGATGGGTCATGATTAAAGTGTTCTTGATTATTACAAGTTAGAGCTCACCTACACAGAACACTGTGAGATAACCCTCACTTGAGATAGGCATTGTGCTGACTTTACAGTAAATTTATTAATGATTCATGAATGGTAAATAGGCATTATTTTATAGATTAGTGTACCTTCAATACCAAAGCACTACCAGTAAAAACCCATTCAAAATATATATTGAGATAAGGCTAAATAAACAGGGCAAACATAGAATACATATGCCAGCTTGTCTGAACGATACTTTCCAACGAGAAAATCTTTGTTTGGAACCTTCAGGGTTATGAAGAAATGTCACCTAATTTTTTATAGGATAACTATGTATTGACATTCCTCGTGATCTTAAATGTTTTGTGTACGAGACTGCACAATGCTTCTACCAAGTAATTGCATAAAAATTATGATAGCATGACACACCCAGAACTTGCCCTCATATTCATGAACTGTGTGATTTGGCAGCAAACATTTTTCATGTAACGTTATTTTCTGGTCACAAATATCACCTTTATTTGTTTATTTACTTATTATTATGCAGAAGCTCCACAGCTATTGTTATCATTACATTGTTTGAGATTTGGGGGAGTTCTAAGCTCTACCGATGGCTTTTAGCTCGCCATCCATATTAAAAAGTGATGATTATTGCACTGTGTTGTGAATGGTTTGGCTTTGATTTTTCTGTTGGCACTTCTCATCTAGTGGCATCTATAAAATGTCGCTTGTAACAAAAATCTAGCTTGGGTTACCCACCTTTCTAAGAAGTGACAGTAGCAGGTTTAGAAGCCCAACTGGGGACAGTATTCACACTGTTTAAAGTATTGATTGGACCCAATCCCCATCTGGTGTAAGCCTCCACAAGCTTATCAGCTTCATTTAGCTGTTCTAGCTTATAGCAACTGTGAATGCGGCCCTTAATATTCCAGCTGATGTCTGCAATGCTTAAAATTATATAGATGCTCCCATTAAAAGTGTGAATTTTTAGTCTAAGCAAAGATCTTTTGGAATTAATGGCAATGCAGTGAGTATATTTTTCTCATTCTTAGTGTGGGTAACATTTAACCTCGCTTGAGCTGTTTCAAAATGAGGTGTATGGCTTAAGGCTTCCCCTAGAGTTAACAGAAGTACATAGGCTTTTCTGGACAGTAGTTTATCTCCTCATCACACAGATATCTGAGATATGTAAGAGTATAAAACCTCTGAAAATGCTTGTCTCTCCTCCTAGTTGAAGGAACTTAGAATACTATTTTTTAGAAATCAGTTTTCTTAGAATTTCCTAGATTGTAGGATTTTTCTCTTAAACTTTAAAAATTAGTCAATGTTGGACAAGATGAATCCCACCCCTCTTTGCCATCTGTCTTTAACTCGGTTGTCCCTGGTGCCAATTTCCCATCTGATTTCTCTGGCAAGAATTGCTTTCAACAAAATGGTTGCTGGTAATACAAGATTCTGGTATTAATTATGAGTGCATGGGTCCAGATTCTGCTTTCATGCACGCTGGTGTAAGCTTGTGGTGAGTGCTGTTGTTCACAGCTAGTGTGGTATGTGTAGCTAAGAACAGAACGTGGCTACTTCCCTCCAGCTTGGGTGAAGCCCATCCGGACTGTTGTACCGCAGTAGGTGCTGCATTTCCCTGGCAGGTTTGAAAGCAGACTTTAAGTCTCTGACCTTCTGTAGTTGCAAAGAAAAGCTTCTGATTGTGATCCAGTGCAGCATGGTCTACCTTGAATTTGCACATATGGGTTTAAGCAAACAGCCTTCCTTATTGCCTTGGGCCATTAGCTCTAAAGTCTAATAATAATATACATGTCAGTACAGCTAAATAGTTCAGCAAGATAATGCAGCAAGACATGTGGATAGAGTCTGAGATTCTAGGTAGCACAGAGTCCAGGCAGAAATGAAATGTGGTTTTGTCCACTGATTTCCTCCCTTTTACTGTTTGCACTGCTGCACCCTGTAAGCTTTCAAAATAAGGCTGAACTTGCCTTTGAATGTTCCCTTTACAGGGTTCAGGTATCTTTGGTAGCATTTACTTGTTGCAGAAGGCTTTTTCTTTTTTTTATCCGAGATGCCCATCATTGTCTGTTGAAAAGCAGGGCGTTGGCTTTAAATGCTGAGGTTTTGCTTTTCATATGCAGCTGTTCTGTACCAAACCATTGACAGCAGAATTGCTTTGGAAAGCTTGGGCCCCTCCCTCTGAGATCACTATATTATTCTTTCCATTGTCCTGCTTTCTTTTCAGAGCATATTTACGGAGACAAGCTTTGCACATTTCTCATTCAAAGGACTTTGAAGTCGCATTCAACAAAAATAATGCATTTAAAAACATAAATATTTATTTACAGAGTAATTCAGTTCATTACAGAATTGGTAGCTTTAATGATTGGCAGTCCTTAAAGGAATCTTCAGCGGGGGCGGGCTGAGCCTGTAAATCAAGGAACAACTGACTTATTGAATTTAATACCTGAGTGATTAACAATAAATTTTAATTTGAAGGCTCTTATGCCTGAAGGTCTCTGGGTGTTGTAACAGAGATTAAGAAAAACAATGAAAGAAAGAAACTGCAATGAAAGAAGGCAACTTGCATGTCTGAAAGAAAACAAGGGAACATTTGGAACCTACGTAAATGACCCTCCTCACCTAACTGTAAAACAAACTATGAGAATTAAAAGGATCTTTCAAGTGCTTTGAGATACTGCTTTGCTTCTGCACCTGTAGTTTTGCTTAGACTGTTCTGCTGGCCAGCAGAATGTGTCACCCACCTTCTTTACTCACTCCTGATAAGGCTTCCCTTAGACACAGACATTTTACCTTTCTGGGTTTTTGTGACTAGCTGATTCTGGTTTTGATGATAGTTAGGGGCCCTGACTTGAAGTGTCACAGGTAAATGGAGCAAGCCTGCTGCTCTGAAATCTGAAGAACGTGCATCATTTTCATAGCTGTGGGAAATAGTCTTCTGTTCCCAGCTGATGGGAAAATATAAAATGTTTATGGCATTTTTGGCACATGAACTCAATAATCACATTGATGCTTTTCCAAGTGCTACTGGCATATTTTAGGAGAATGCAAATTGCCCCATCACTTGTGTCCCCTGCCGTCCTGGTGCTCTGTACTGATGAGGTGTGTAAAATGCGATAGGGCAGCTATGTGTGCAAGAAGTAATAGCTTCATTCTATTTTCTTGAGGAGGGAAATGAAGCTGGATTGAATAAGAAAGAACTTGAGGGCTATTTTTCAAACACAAAGTAGTGCTGACAAACTGTTGACTAAAAGGGGAAGACAAAGCGAGGCCAGACTGTACAGGGCTTTGAGCAACCTGGTCTGGTGGAAGGTGTCCCTGCCCATGGCAGGGGGTTGGAAATAGGTGATCTTTAATGTCCCTTCCAATGCAAACCATTCTAGGATTCTATGAAATATCAGCCTTAGGATATGTCGCACATCTCCACTGTGACTTGTACAGTGAATGTACAGTGAATCTTTAGAATTCATAGAAAACACCAAAATAAATCTGGGGAAAGCTCATATGTGACTTTTGCCAGTGGAATATATACTGTATTTGTTGTGTGGTGTATTGTTCATTAGTCTGATGATCTTTCTGATTATCTTCTGAAATCTTCAGTTATGTCATAGAATCATAGAACACCAGGTTGGAAGGGACCTCAAGGATCATCTGGTCCAACATTTCTTTGCAAAAACACAGTCTAGACAAAGATGGCCCAGCACGCTGTCCAGCTGAATCTTAAAAGCATCCAACACTTGAAAATATCAGCAATGCATAAATCTTTAATGCGGACTTTTTGGAAAGTAAATTGAAACACTCATCTGAAATTTATTGTAGAAAAGCAGGGAATTGTTTTACATACTTTATTGCAAATGTTAACGTAAAAACCACAATATCTTCTCTTTAGGACAGAATGTTATTGTCATAGTCCCAGGAGCCAACCTGCTTTTAAATTTTGAAGATCTGAAGAGGGCTTCTGATGTCATCTGTAAAGCCAAAGTGGTTGTTTGCCAGCTAGAAATAACTCCTGCTGTTTCTCTTGAAGTTCTGAAAATGGCACGTGCCAGTGGAGGTAATTTAACATAAGCCATTCTGTCTCCCTCATTTGTGTGGCATGAAAAATAGTCTTTATCGTGCTTTCTAAATAAAGATCAGGAGGCCTATTCTGGTTTCTGTCATACTGGTTTTATTTAGAAATGAAACAATAGCCAACAAATCCATGCTACACCAATGAAAACTGAGTCCAGTTTTTAAACTTCGCAGTATTTACCTTGCATGGAAAATTGACCCATACCCTTATAATCAACCTGTATATGTTTGGTGCTGCTTTTCCTCTGATTTTCATGCTGTGAAGAAATACAGTATAATCTTGTTAGGTCAGGAACCATTGGCCTAAGTCTGATACTATTCCAGAGTAGAACAAGGATAACGAATGCAAGTCAGTAAAGTTCTACACAAAATGAAGTGAATGAAATGACCTCAAAAACAGACTTATGCCCTTGTTCTCCCAGCATAGCAGTAGGTATGGCTGTGGTTTTCTGCATAGGAGCAAAGATCTTTAAAGCTTTTTCTTAACCAACATTCTTAGAGTGTGACTTGACATGTTGCCATTGAATAGACAATTATGGTCTGTGAAATCATTAGTAAATTGTACTTTTAAATGTAGGTGCTTGTTCCTTCAGTGTGGTATATATGTAAATGAAAACTGTCATTTTGCTTGAACAGGATGGTGTTTTACTACCAGCATGATGGCTTTTTTGTTTAAGTGCCTGTAATGCTTTCAGTTACACAAGCACAATTGCCACAGTGCTTGAACACTAGGTAAATAATTATCCTAGTGAGACATCTGTATGAGATTAAAAGTATGTTGTTCATGTCTATCGAGAAGATAAGACTGGGAGGGGATAGAGATGCAGGTCAGAGATGGAACTAGATGGGAGGCTGGAGGAGAGTGGCTCTGAAACTGAGGTGGTAATAGTTATAAACTCTATAAACAATGGGGAAAAATGTTTTGACTTCTGTTTGAAATATCAAAGCTGGGTTCATGCAAATCTAGGCAAAAACTTCAGAAAACGGAGTAGCATCTGAAATGCTTGAGATATAAGGGGGGGGAACAGAGCTTTATGTTTTATGAAAATGGATAAAAGCATTCTTAACCTAGTGGTTAATGGACTATAGTTGAGTCACGAGTCAATATCCATGACTTATTTTGTCTACTTCTAACTCTATGCATAGCTCTGGTAAGATGCTTCACACTTCTGTCACCCTCATATGGCAAAATGCCAGTCTGTGACAGAAGAGAGGGGTGTTTTTTTAAGGCAATTAAAATAAAAAATCCAAACCTGATACATGGAACTAACATGCAAGCATTTAGCATCTGTAGACAGCACAATATATCGAGAAAAGATAGTAGTTAACTGAAGGCCAGCTATAGTTCTGTGCTGTCAGTCAGCTACCACTGTGCAGCTCTCGCATCCAGAAAGCTTCGGTTGCTTCTGCTTTAAAGCAGTAGGCTACACATGTTCAAATGTCATGTGCAGTCAAATCGAAGTAAACAGCTGAGTTTGTAGCACTGTAAAAATCTATCCTTAGCCAACTGTAAATTGTTCCTGCAATTTTCCTTCTTTTAGCCTGCAATACCCTCATGTATAATGCAGTACTGCATCTTAAGAAGTGCACTAGACTATTTTTGTTTAAAACAGATGCAAACCCAGATGCCTCAAACCTCTGTTTCAAGGGTTGGGTTGTTTTTACTTATTTGTCTTCATTCTTACTGAAAAAAAAAAATACAGTAAGATGGAGAAAGAATGTGGACACGCAGGCAAGAACCCTTGGCTTCTGTTCAGCATCACCTGGATCTGTAAGCTATCAAGGGACATTTCATGTTCTGATATCCACTCATTGTGGCACAGGTTATTAAAGATACAGAGATGAAAGGAAAGGAAAGGAGAAAGGAAAGGAAAAGGAAAAGGAAAAGGAAAGGAAAGGAAAGGAAAGGAAAGGAAAGGAAAGGAAAGGAAAGGAAAGGAAAGGAAAGGAAAGGAAAGGAAAGGAAAGGAAAGGAAAGGAAAGGAAAGGAAAGGAAAGGAAAGGAAAGGAAGGAAAGGAAAGGAAAGGAAAGGAAAGGAGGAAAGGAAAGGAAAGGAAAGGAAAGGAAAGGAAAGGAAAGGAAAGGAAAGGAAAGGAAAGGAAAGGAAAGGAAAGGAAAGGAAAGGAAAGGAAAGGAAAGGAAAGGAAAGGAAAGGAAAGGAAAGGAAAGGAAAAGGAAAGGAAAGGAAAAGGAAAAGGAAAAGGAAAAGGAAAAGGAAAAGGAAAAGGAAAAGGAAAAGGGAAAGGGAAAAGGAAAAGTTAATTGTGAATAATGATATGAAGTGGGTATGAATTGTAGTGGAAATCTGACAGGAAAATTCTAGGTCTTTAATGGCCACGTATTGTGCAGCTGCTGATTTTTCCAAGAGGGGAACCACTTCATTGATGGGCAAAATGTAGTGTATATCTAAGTCTATAAAGCAGTTTGAGGGCTTCTGTAATGAAGGATTTTATAAAAGATGACTGATAATGTCCAGCCTATTAATACTGTAGCAAAGAATGGGCTGGAAGCAACCTCCGTTATTAAGGTTCTGTGCCACCTGCAAGGAAGGGATCTATTTTTCAGGTGATTCACCTTTTTAATCTCAGGCTGTGATTTTTCAGATCAGTTGTTTTTCTGTGGTTAATCTCCTTGTAATTTCTGCCAAAGCACAGCGGCTAAAAGGGCTACCCCCTTTTAAATTATGAATACTGCCTACCTTAAAATTTCCATGAGTCTTGATAGCAAAGGAGCTTTCTTTCAAAGAAAAGCCTTTACAATAGCATGGAAATCTGCATGATTTTTGCTGTATCATCTGCCTTTGAGAAATAACTACTTTCCACATAGACTTGTTAGAGCTTCACAGCTAGCTTCCCATGAGGTCTGTCCATGCAAGCAGTTGTCCCTTTGGGCAGCATGACTTTCAGTGTAGTTCCTGAATCTGATTTTAAGTAACTTCTTTTATACTACTGAAGATCTCTCACAGGCCCAGGAAGTGCAGAGCAGGAGCTTCCTTGATTTGAATACAGAAGAGAGAAAGCTGGACAGGAATGCTGGGGACAGAGAGTAGATTTCAAAGAGAAGTGTAGGAGGGATTTGCTTGATTTTGGGGGTGGCAGAGGATGAAGGAAGAAAGAAACTGAAAGAGAAACAAAATTGGACTAGATAATAGGATTTGTTGAATTTGAATAGAAATTGGAATAGGGAGGTAGGGAGTAGGCTGTGGGTACCGGAAGAGGAAAAAAGAAAACATAAGGGGCATAAAGAGCTATTATGTGATGCAAGTTGAGTGAAAAAGGTTACTATTGCATTGTGCTTATGTAAGGAGGCATCCAGAATGGAAACTAGGTGAGGAGTATGGATTCTTGGCAAAGGATGAGAAAGAACTGGGCAAAAAATAATTTGGTGTACCTCAGGGAGACCGAACAGATTTCCCTGTTCACAAGCCATGCGCTTCTTCACAGCCTGAAAGAGAATTTTATGGTCCCTCTATCTCCCCCCAGGCTCAGCAGATATTAAATATGGGAGCAAACTATTAGTAATGTATTGCACGCTATTCATGATGCATCTGTATTACTTAAAACCCAAGCTGGAACACTTCCAATGCTGCTCCTGACCCGTCTATGCATTGGTATGATACCACATGACAGAGTTTGTTTTCCAATATGTGCTGTTTGTTTGTTTTACCTAGGAAAGGATACCTTAAATATTTGTGTCTTAAAAAACTTTGTTAGGGTTGCAATTCAGGAAATAGGAAATGCAAGAGTTAAGGTTGCATGTGAAACCTTAATTTGTATCCTTTCTGCATATGTATTATGTTGCAGTCTTTAATTATGTGATCACATGCTGTTTTTCAGTGGTATGTGATCATATAATTAAAGAGTTTATTATAATACATACTGTATTGTAATAATATAAGGGAGCCAAATTAAAATTTCATTGGTAATCCTTGCATTTTCTGACTTCTGAGTAAATGTCTTTGTCACTTTTATACTCATTTTACCAAGGCAGGTAGAGAAACATGATAAAGTTGTACAGTCAAAGGCTAAAACCCTCAGAGTGTTAATCAAAAAGGTCATCTTCTGAAGTCGTCAGTACTCAGGTTTCACAGGTCTCTGTGCATCTTTCTCTTCTAGGGCATTAACTGGGATTCCGAATGGTCTGAATATTATGTGCTATAGCATAGGGTCTAAAACTTAGTCTGAAAACACAGGCATCCAATTTGGAAGATGTGATCACTTACTATAAGGAATATTTTTAATGTAAGAGAGTGTGCTTTGTATAGAAATGATGGCCTTGTGGCTAAGACACAGAAGTATTAATCATGAAATTGGCAAAGTGAGAAACCAAGTCTGAAGATTTCCTGTGCTAGCAGTGAGTAAGTCACTGTCCTCATGACAAACCTTTTCTGCTGCTACACAGGGCCTTAGGCTACAGTTTAAAGTTAGGTTAACTAACATATTGTACCACGTGTTAAGTTTAGGCCTAGCTCTGCCAGATAGCATATTAAAAACATACAATGCCTCATCTACACTACAGTTTTATAATGTGGCAGTTTGAACAAGTTAGGTAACACGTTCAGAAGCATGTTTAACTCCTTGTCTGGACATGCCCTTCATTACTCCATACCCCTGTTGCTTCATGTACAGAATGCAGATAACAACACTGAAAAAAACTCTAGAACTACACTTACTAAAATCCTGGAAGAAGCATCCTCAGTTAAACAAACTGCATTGCTGGCTAATGCTTTCCCCCCTTTTTAGTTAGTCATTTCTTGGTTATTTTTTCTGTTACTCTTCTGTCATGTTCCCATCATGACAGGTGCCTGCACATAAATCAGAGGGAACTTTATTAAAGTAAACAAAGCTTGTAGCATTTCTATAAATGAGGTTACAGGAACCGAGAGTCATTTGTGTGTTGTTAATAAGCATCTGGGGCTGTGAATTAAACTCAATGGTGTTTCAAGTGATGGTTTATGAATCTAAACCACCAGAGATTTAGACTTTTTCTTTCTTTTTTTTTCTTTTTTCCAGTAAAGACTTTATTTAATCCAGCTCCAGCCCTTGCTGACCTAGATCCACAATTTTATACCCATTCCGATATCTTCTGCTGCAATGAAACTGAGGTAATGGTCGTATGTCATGTTAAAGAAGGAGCCTTGAGCAGTAAAATTTCAGAGAGATTCTCTTCTCAGAAATGCAGGATAGGGAGCAGGAAAACTGAGGTGTGCTCCTCTCGCATAGGACTTAGGAGGTAACAAGTTTGCCGCCTGGCTTAACAAGCACAGAGAAGTATTCTAGAATACCTTTAGATTGCACTCAAAATTTGCAGTGGGAAGGTTGTGTCCTTAAAATAAATCCATAAAAGGACACTTTTAAAACGTTTTCACTGAGTGGTAAATATTTAGATAGATCATTGTCCTTGTCTGCGGTCCCTTGATATGAATACCAGGAATGTGCTAGCCGTAGTGTTCTGACAGTTTTAAACTCACTTGCCAGGAGGTGATGCACGCATGCTGCACTTGATGGCAAATAGCTTCATATGCCTTTTCCTGTCAGATCTGTTTTCAGTGAATCTGGCCCTTCAACTGTCTTTTCCATCTTTCTTTGTTTTTTGTTGTTTTTTTTTTTTTTTGCCCTCCTTTCTCCTTCTTTTCTAATTCAAGTGTTTTATTTCTCCCAAAGGAAATTATTTTTGTCACACAAGAGACAAATTAAGCTCATCTCATAAGGCCTTTGTTTAAATTTCCTATTTATTAACATTATGCATGCTGTGTTCCTTCCCCTCACCCTTTCTTTATGTAAACAGGAATGTGGGAGAAGTAACCTAGTGGATAGAAGCCATGCCTTGATATCTCCAGTAAACATGATTTCTGCAATGAACGTTACCTTGTTCATTGTGGAGTTAAGGGGCAAGAGCTAAGAGAAAAGCTTGGCCCTCCTTATTTACAGTATTTTTGTCTGATAACAATGTCTATCAAAGTTCTTCAAGACTCAATTACCCTCTTCTGAAAGTTCTTTTAAAACCCATCACAAACCACATCAGAAGTTCTCAATTCACAAGTCTAGCATTTAAACATCAGTCTAAGTAACCCAAATGGGCATCTGAATTTTGTTCTGGGACGTTTCAGTGTGTGCCTGCCCAGTTCATATACTCCAGAGCATTCAGGAGTTAGCAAAATGGCAATGTAGGAGATGGATGCTACAGCTTCTCAGGTATCCGAAAGGCAAAGTTCCCAGTGTAACTGGCAGTGATAGCATTTGCGGCTCAGACCACCACCTCACTTAGATGTAATGGAGAGAATGCTAAGGCAAAAGTATTTATTCTTGTTCAGAGGACTTGCAGGACACCCATATGGTGTTTTCTTCATGCTTCAGGAAACACTTGTGCCTGGACTATGCCCCTGGATTAGCTAACGTTTTGGGCTCAGAACACCCATGCTCTCCCACCAGTCTAGTAAATGTCATTCGTTGTTTGCTTTTTTCATAATGTCACTAGTTACTTCTTTTTTTCCCCCTGCAAAAACTTATCCCCCATGTGTTAGAAGCAAAACTTTGTTTCCCATTACTTGTCTATTCCTGACTTTTGTCTCATTGCTCTTTGCAACACACATGTTAAAGTTTTCCCTTTGTTATACTTTATTGCTAGAGGATAGTCTTGAAAGAGACATTCTTTGAGAAGTTCAGCTTGCTGGAGCCAGAGTGTATTATTATTATGACCACATGGAGAAAAGAAAATTAATTCTATTTGGAGAACAAGAAATACAGGTGTATAATTATAATAGGTCCCTGCTCACTCCTCTGCCTTTCCTGCAGAGCTGGTGGTACAGTTTGCATTCTTTTCTGCTATTTTCTTTTAAAAGGTAATTAACATTTGAAGATAGCTGGGATCACTGTAGGCACAGTCAGGCATAGAAATACACTCTCTACTGTTGAGGAGGCTTCTCTGTTCTGAATGTATGGAAATGGTAGACCTGCAAGTTCCTGCCAGCCATATGGGAGCACTGATCCAATGTGGGACTCCTACAGCGTATTCTGAGAACAAGAATGGCACATAAATACCTTTGCTTTTAGCAGCAGCATTTTCATACTTTGCAATGAAATCAATTACATAAGCAGGACTGTAATAATCAATTATGTTTGATTTCATCCTCTCTGTGTGTCTGATTTGTTACTGAATTGATTTTCAGGGATGAACTATTGCCATTGTTCCTTTCTTTTTGCTGAGAAAAGAGGAAGAATGAAGCATTTGTTTTTCTTATGTCACAAGTTTGAAAGTTGGGGCTTTAGTAATTGTTATATATTCATATGCCATCTGTTTTCTGTTTTCTTTCATGACTTTCTTTAATTTCAGATCTCTGTAATATATTCACTTGAGAAGTTTGATATAGAGATAAATGTTTACATACTCAAATAAAGGTTACCAGTCACATCTCTGTATGGCACTTAAAAGCAATGTTAATTCTCCGATCTTAAAGATAATTCTAATGGTTAAGACTTTTTCCATTCAATGAACTACATATGCATTTCCTTTATCTTCTGACATCAGGAAGAACCCTGGACTTTGGTCTTGCAGAACATATACTGGGAAAAGATCTTTTTATACTTATTTTTTTCATTTCCCTCAATACCTACTAGCAGTCACAGTCAGAAAGGAGCAATTGGATAAGATGGAACTTTGCTCTTTGCTCTGAGCCATTACAGCCATTCTTATTTTATGGATTTTTTTCAATCATTAGTATCTATGGTAAAATTTATTGAACATGCCACTTAAAAATGTCTTTCTGAGATACTCTGTTCCAGCTCCATTGCCTCTCCTGCTTGGTATTTCTAAGTTTCAAATAACTTCCTTCTAGCCAAAGTTCTATTTATGCTTCAGCCTTACCCCCTTTTGGGATCTTTTGTTTTTAGGGGGGATTTTTAGTTGCTACCAGAATAAAAATAGTGTACTTCTGCTTTATTGTTACTAGATCTTTTAAATAGTTGATAAATCATCTTGGATTTAAAGATGAGCATTCCAGTTCAGCTGCTTCTAAAACACAGATATTCTTTTAAACACACATATATATATATATATATATATAAACAGATACATAGATTAAGTTTACACTGATTTTTTTCTTTTTTTTTTTTTTTTTGTTTCAAGTTTTGGTTTAATCACTTAAATTTACAAGCCTTTATCACACAGTTTTACCAAAATGTCCTTATCTTTCTTGTTCACCGAGAAATACCTTTAAATGATAAAATCCTGTGGTTTGTGAATAATACGTGCATGTGTTTGCTAAGAGGATATTATGTTAGCTGGAGAACAGAACATTAGCCATTTAGCTAGACACCTCATACACTATGTGGAGTGTTTGCATTGTTAAAAATGAGAAAAATGGGGTAGTCCTTGTGATTAGCTGAACTATTACTGTGTGAGAAGTTCCTGTTATTTACTGCCATGAAGGTCAGGAGGTTTGATCTGCAATGCCTTTGTCACACAATAAAGGTTTAAAAATGTCAGATGTAGTCTCAGCCAGCCATGGGATGTTGGTTCCCAAACATGCAGGCATCAGATACAGCACTGCACTTTATCCTTCATTAAATGCTTTAGGATTTAATGAAATCACATGCGGTATAACAGCACAGCTTGTTCTTATGGATTTATGTGCTAGAGAGAAGCAAACAAAATCATACTATCGGTGCATTATCTACCATTAGTTTGTCTAGAAGGCTCCTCACAAGCTGCTCTTTTCACTCTTGCTTGTTGCAATAATAGTTTTCTTCTCTGTCTGACATTACTTTCTTTTTATGTGGTTCATGACCAAAAAAACTCAGAGCAAATCTTGCAAGGTTATCAGTTCTTTCTTTGCTTAGCCTGTAGTTCAGTTTTATCTTTTCCCAGGAAGATCAAACTTGTTGAGACTAGTTTGTTAATTCCCAGATGTAGCACAGCCTAATCCCTGAGGTTTGTGCAGGAATGTGCTAGTTCTCAATTCTCTTAATTCTTCTAATGAAAAATAAATGTATCCAATGTCACTTTAGTGAAAACCAATGGTTGTTCTTTTCAGTCATCCACAAATGTTGAGAAACAGACAACCCTATACAAGATGAGCCCTTTGGAATGCTTACCATTTTTCCCCACGTATTTGTGTGCTGCCTTGCTGCAGTATGGCTCTAGGCACAACCACAATGTCAATACAGTTCATGTGTTGTTTTTCTTACTTAGTGTGTGCGTGCAATTACATAGCCCTGCAGGTTAGGAACCAAAATATATTGCACATCAGCGATTTCAGCTTGGTCCTAAAGATTCTGAAGAACAGCTGCCTCTGTTCAAAGAATACTGAGGAGCACTTCAGGAGAAGGAAAACTTCTAAATGGTTACAGCAAATGGTTTAGTTTGTCAAGCTATTTTTAATGCAAAACTGGGAACTGCTTTCTCCCTGTTGTAGAGTGGGCATCAGACTTCTGATCTAAATAAGAAAGGCCTGGCAAAGATTTGATTAAATGCTAACAGGCTACTTTGGGACACCAGTGGTAGAAAGCAGCACAACTAAACACAGGTTAATGGCTAATTTTGTTAAAGAAAGCTGCAAGGGGTGTAAAAAATGGCATGTAAAAATAGATACCATCCTATTGTTTCTTTTTGAGTGGTGTTGTCTATTGCTAGAGGCTAGATAATTTTTGGAAGCAACATTAAGAATGGAAATTCGTGGTAGTATGTCCACAATCAAAAGACAGTATTGCCCTTTACAAGCCTAGGGGGCTATCAAGTTCATAAAACTGTTTTAGAGTCATAGATTAGGACATTTAAGATACTGCTTATTAATACAGTGACATTAATCCTAGGGATAGTCTTCCTTAAGAAAAATAATTGATATGTCGAGTAGTCAAAACAAAAATAAGTCCTTTAGAATTAAAATATTCCAGAATGTCTCTTGAATTTGCTTTTTCTGTTTCAAGCAATGGAAGGCTACTATTATACCATAAAGCAGAAGTTGCCAGCGATTCACAGTATATTTTAATTCCAACTTTGTTCTAAGCCTCATTTTATCAGTTGCTGGAAACTATGAAATTTCCCATATTTAGTCTAAAATGAAAGATGTTACTTTGGGGAGGGGAGGGAATAGCTTCAAGCCAATTCATTTCAATCAGGTTTTAATTATTCCAGCACGATAAGTATTTCTGCCTGTATGTATGTAAAAATGTTATAATTTGAAACAACTGGAACTAGCTTGGCTTGTGGCCTGATCTTGCAGTTGCTTTTGCACCAGATCTATCTCCCTGCTTCGTTGGGACTGTTCACATGTGTTGGAATTAATGAGATTGAGTTCTTGTGCTGTCATTCGCAAAGAAATCTTCTAAGGTACAAGCCAAGTTTGTAGCCAACTGGCTTACTGTGTTTAAATATTTTAAATCAAAAATATTTTAAGTTATCATGTGTAGTTTTAGATGGGTTAGCCTTAAAACTGGCACCGTTTCTGTATTATTATTTTTTCTGTTCCAGCAGTACCTGGCAGCATTTGCAAAGTTGCTATTGTGTGAGGTGCACAGAAAGCAGTCCAAGTGATAGACTGCTCCCCAAAGAATTAACACTTCTTGTTATTTCACCAGTTTTTATTTGCTGAGGATCATAGAAGCTGGGAACAGACCTCTGGAGGGCTGTAGTCCAACACCCTGATGAAGCATGGCCAGTTTAGGTCAGATTGCTCAGGTCCAGTCAAGTTCTGAATCTCCAAGGATGGAGATTGCATGACCTCTGGGCACCTGTTCCAATGCTTCATCACCCTTGTGGTGAGAAAGCTTGTCCTAGTACTGGAATTTCCCATGTTCCAGCTTGTGCCTGTTTTCTCTACTCCCATTCCTTCAAGAAGACTCTGGCCTCATTTTCTTGATATCCACCCATTAAATTGCCATAGACAGCAATTAGATCTCATCTTAGCCTTGTGTTCTTCAGGCTGAATAAGCCCACTTTCTCTCACCCTGTTCTTGTATGTCCTAGTCTTTGTCCCTCTGAGTATCTTGGTGGCGTTCCGCTGTAGTATGTTGTAGCATGTCAGTGTCTCACTTGTGCCAGAGATCCCCAAAATAGATACCATGGTGCAGATCTGATCTTGCAAATGCCAAGCAGAGGATCCAGGACATCTTCCTGAAAGTGGCTGTGTAAGCCATAGGCTGTCCCAAACACACAACATCTAGGAACACCCAGCAAAGGTTCATATCACACTTTCATTCTCACTTATAACCAGTGAGAGTACTTATAACTAGTGCTGCTGTTGAAAGAATTAATTGTTTTAGATTGGCTTTTGGGGGTAGCATGGGATTGGGGTGGCATTGATTTTAACCCAAATCTGCCTTGCAATTTGTTTCCTGGCCACACAAATGGCTGTGCTGGCACAAGAGAATGGACCATGTGGGCTGGAGTGGGAGGGAAAAAGTAGGACCATTATTTATCGTAGCAGTGCTGGTTTGTGTTAACTTACTGTGACTAGACTACAGTCTAAAGAGGCATGAGAGCTAACTAAGATTATGGAGGACTATGGCCAAGCATCTTCCTATCAGTTAAATGAAAAACTTCAGTTACATTTCTCTTCCACTTTTGTAATTAAAATTAAGACAATTCTGTGTCGATTATCTATATACTACCCACCTTAGGTTTAGTCTGACAGCAGTTTTGTGGAACGTCCTCTTCCTTTAATAGGTCCATTGAAGTGAGGAGTTTTATGGGACTAGCTGCAGGAAAATAAAGTTCTCAATTTGCTGCTCTTTTGTACAGTGCTATGGCAAATGTCCACATTGGGCTTTTAGTATTGTTATTCAATTTTTTCTTTACATAACCATTAGTTATTTCCTTCAATTGTACCACAGTTTGTTTTTCAAATAAGATTCTACTGAAGGGAGGAACTTAGAAACTCACCACAGTATTTAACATCAGTTGACATTTACCGCAATCTCTAATTATTGGCACAGAATCTGTCTGGCTTCTGCTGCTTTTAAGGCTCTTCCAGCTTGTTCCAGTGTTTTTTAGTGTTACCATCCTCCTGTAGATGAGCTAGATGATAGGGGTTTCAAGCAGTTGAAGATCTACTTTTATACAGACTCTGTCTATTCAAACTAATTTTGTTTATTGATACAAGCAGTGTAAAGATGGAAGAGAAAGATTTCAGCAAAACCTTGCACATATCAGTCCCAGAACAATTCTTTGACTACCTAAGCAAAAAAGTCCTGTTGACCTGGGGCTCAGCAAGCACAAAGAGGGCATACAACATATGTGCTTCATTAGGAAGAACATGATATTTAAATACTTCATTTACCTTGCTCATGGAAAGTGTAAATACAAAGTAAATAAACCCAAATTAGATGTACTGTTTCTCTACCAAAACCAAACCCATTTTTGTCCTGGAGACTTTGCAACATTAGGTAAAATGTTTGGAATTATTGCCCCTCGTAAAGTACATTGGAAATTCAGTTAGCCAGTTTTAGTCAAGGATCTGTGTTAATCCATTTTTATTCCTGTAACATGATGTGCTAGATGTTCTGGGTACAGGAATGCATAGCTTAAGCTCCAGAGAGCTTAAAAATCATGGAAAGGCAGAGACTCTTTAGACACTTGAACATTAGAATAGAGTGTATGTGTCTTATAATACTATTTATTTTCTGTCCTTGCTTTCTCCAAAGCCATTACTGGAGTACTGACTCCTTGCAAACCTTGCAAGAAGATGCATTCAAAAGATTTTGTGAGATACTATTTGAAGCAAAGTTTCTTCTTTGAAAATGCTTTTATAAGCTTTTAAAAACTGAAATAGGTTCCATTTGCTTCAATAGTTTGTACTGCAAGAGATGTTTGAGCAGCATGGTGGCATGCCAAAGAAAATTTGATGGGTCTACATGCTGTCTTCGAATTTAAAGCTTACTATACCCTTGTCTGGGATCAGTGAGGTTAAAAAAAAGTAGTTTTCAGTTGCTTGTGCACATTAACCACACCTTGCCCCTGCACTGCACGAATTTACCCACCAAGGCCTGTGCCACACCAGATTCTGTCTTGCAGCGATCAGCTCAACAGTGCTTGAAACCATTTATGCATCTAAGTAGGGACTGAGAACTTGGTCCTGTAAGTTTGAAAATTAAAACCAGTAAGTACTCTGCTAATGATACTATAAACTCTAGGGAGTGTGTTGGCATAATCTGGCCCTTTGGAGCCTAAGGGTGGCTTCTCTCTCCTGGGTCAGGCTGAAACACAGGAAATGACAGTGGCAAGCAGCGGGCGCTGACTCACATCTGGGGGCGGTTTACTTAGGGATGGCTGTAGTAGTTCCTGTCCCTAGCTGTCTGCCCTCCCTCTCTTTACTACAGGCATGGCCTGTGCTCCATGGAGCAGTTGTTTAATCACTGTAGTTTATAGCCCATTATAGCAAGAAGTATGTGTGCTGAATTCAGGTTTCAGTCATGCAGAGGAAGGTCCTTTGAAATATTTCAGCAGCTATATCCCAAGAAGCCAACTCGGCTTCCCAAGAAGCCAGTGTAGCAGAGGTCAGGAAGAGGAGCGGGTGAATAGCTTCCAAAGTAAGTTTACCACTGAAAGTAACCCTAAGAGTGTGGGAGCTATGCCCAGTTACTAGGCAGTTAACTAACAATACTTCAGACTGCATTTTTCAGATCCAGCAGCAACCTTGTAGTGCAAGATAAAGTAGGACTTCCCTCTCCTCAGTCAAGCAGGACAAGATGTAGTAAAGACAGCAAAATAGAGTATGTCTCTTTACTTGCAATTGAAAGCACACTGTATTATGCCACTGTGTTTTCTGTTCTCTTCCTTGCTGTTTCATTTTCTCTTTCCTGCCAAAAATAAAAGTACATGACAGTTGACAATGCTATGCCTTCAGGAAGATGTATGAAGTGGTGAAAAGGATGCTTGATTCTGGAGTCTTCATTGCAAATTTTGGGGAAAATTTGCTCTTTGTTGGGTGGAACTAGAAGAGATTAATTTTAAGAGCCAGCTGGGAGAAGCTGACTTAAGGTCACCATCTGTTAGAAAAGGAGTTTATCTGTGTTTGCACAGAGCCAGCACAGAAGAGTCTTAGTTTTGACAGAAGCCTATGGACATGGCCATTACACAAATATATAATAATCTTGTAACGGGCCTTTGCCCACAGCAGGCTCCAGATAACTTTTAGGTAGTTTTATCTAAAAATATATACTAAAGTGAACAGGGGGGTCAAAGTTTAGAATTATTTTTTTCCTCTTGAAGAGATTTTCCCTCGTGATTTCCCTCTAGCTGAGGACTGAGAATTTAAAAGGGAATTTTGAAAGTCTCTCCCTTGGTGCTAAATATCCCCCAGCAACAGTGACCGAGCTGCCATGTAGCATTTTGTACATTAGAGCACAAAATGCTTTTGCCAAGGCTGTGCCCTTGTGTTCATTTCACAGATGAAGAAACTGAGGCACGTGGGAGAAATGTGATTTTATTAAGAGCTGCATGCCAGGTAAGTCATAGAAACTGGAACAGAAACCATGCCTCCTGTGTCTCTGCCTAGGCTACTCTCTTACTCTTTTAGTGTGCTGTGCCTTAGTGATTTCAGATAAGGAGCAAGACATAGCTGATTATCAGTGTAGGAAGTGGTTTCATGATCATCCTGTAATACACATTTAAAAATTATATTAATGTTTTCAAATGCAAATGTTGTCCAAAAATGAATTCTGTCAGATTGTGATTTTCATTTGTGTGGGTTATTTTCCAGGCAGAAATTTTAACGGGCATCCCAGTTGGCAACCTTGAAGATGCTGGAAAGGTGGGACGCATGCTGTTAGAAAGAGGGTGTAAGCTCGTAATTGTTACTCTTGGAGCAGAAGGCTGCATGATGATATCAGTAGAAGAACCCATTCCAAAGCACGTTCCTGCTGGGAAGGTCAGGGCTATGGACACTACGGTACGTTTTTGTGGTTTAACTGTCTTGCTTTGGAAAAGACTGCTTAAGCACTAAGGGAAAGCAATGAGTAATCAGCCAAATCTTTGGGCACTAGCACAAAGGCTAATTTATGATGTGAAATTGATATCTTGCTTCCAGCCTCTCGTATATTAAATGTCAGTTCACTTGAGTTTTATAGTCTGTATTGTAGATGAGCTAGAATTATTATACGTACTGATAGGATCTTCATGTTCCTCCTTTACTGAAGTCAGTACCTGTCTCTGACTGTAATGTGTGATGCCTGTGGCTTGAGCTGCAGTCCTGCTTTTTCACCTTTGCCCAGTCATATAACTCATCTTGTCCAGAACTCAAATCCTGTGGGAGAAAGGAGTTACTACCATCCTCACGGTATAAAACTGAACTTTTGGCTCTTCTGACACAAGTGTGAATTGCTTACCGGGTCCTAGCATAAGGTGCTCAAAGACATAATTTTAAGAGAATTTAGTGGAAGAACCCCAAAGCTCTTGCTGCTTCATGACAACTATTTTCTGATGATAGGTAAGGGATACTTGGTCAGAGGCATTTCAGTCTAAATGCAATACCCCCAGCAAAAAATGAAAACAGGACAGGAAATAGTTAAGATAGCATTGCTATGAAAACCTTACCACATTGCACATATGGGGCTATTTTGTGTTCCTAGTATTATCTGACATAAATCCAAAATAATTCCAGTGGAGTTACTGAGAGCAGAGCAGGTCACGTTGTATGTACTAACTATACATTTAAATGCCTGTTATAATAACGTCATATTACATATGTTCTGTTACAATAGTTCATTAAAATCCTGGAGATTTTGCCATCTGGTGCATTCCATATCTGAATTGCATTAATAATAACTAGTTCTTGTAGCATGTTTTTTATCCATGGACCTCATACTGCTTCACAAAGAAGGAAAGCAACTGCTTAAAAGATGAGGAAACAGAGGCATAGAGGAGGCCTAGCTCAGTAGCATGCAGTGGCAGAGCTAGGAGTATAGTCACTTCATCTGAGACAGAAGGTCACTCATAGATTTGGACTGTGATGTGCTGATATTGGGGAAGGCTGTTTCACTGTTAAATTTAATCCTTTTCAATTTAACCCTGAAACAGGGATACTTTGGCTTTATTTTCCTCTTTTGCCCCTTTGTCATTTTGAAGTTTGACCTTGAGTTAGTTCTGAATTTGGAATGTCCTTAAGTTCTGGTTTAAGGAAGTATTGGTGTACTGTACTGTGCATAAAGTTCTTGGTAGGGGACTAGAGACACCAAACTACCTCTGCCTGCTTTAGCACTGAATTAGAAGTGTCAAGGGAGCAAAAGGCAGAGCTCCCAAAGCTGCCCAGAATCAGGGTTTATCAGCCTGGGAGCAACACCTTGTGAACCTGGCAGTGTGGCTTGCTCTGAGTTGGTAAAACCACTACTGCTATCAAAGCTTAGTGTTAGAGTTTTTCTTTACATCACACAGAAGTGATGAAGAAGAAACATGTGTGATCTGCTTCTTCAAAAGAAGCAGACAATTGCTGCCAGATCAGCTATTGTTTGATATCTTAAGATATTTGCTGCTCTTGGAATAAAACAGCAATACTGAAACCACACATTGGGGCTGAAAAGTGCTTTTTATCTTGCCTAGCAGTTCAGAGATTCATGACTGAACTGATTCAATGCTCCTCTTTTTTCTTTTTTTTTTTTCTTCTTTCTTTTTTTAAATGAAGCAATTTCTTTGAGTTTACTGAATCCTTGCCCTGCCTCCTTGTGGCCAACAGGTTATTGGCTTTCACATAGCAGAGGATTTTCACAGTTAATTTTGTTAATCTGCTTAAATACCAGTGGGTTGTTTTCAGTAAAACAGCTGTGCTCGGTTTACTCTTGCAGACTGAATGAAAAAAGATGTGTTGGCCTTCCATTAGAAAAGTCTTACAGTGCTTAGACTGATTATCACTTTGCCTGAAAGCAAGTGGTTTTAAAGCAACCCTTCCAAACATCCTCAACTAACCTGGATAACTCTAAGATAAATACTAAATGTCCTAGTAGGACACGTTACTGTCTTCAGAGGCATGCCTGCAGTGGATCCTTCCCCAGGAGAATAAACTCAAGCTGTTAGGTGGTTTAGCAAGTAGCCACCTACCCACAGAGTATTCAGAGCTGATCATGTGCAAGCTCTTAGCGTGTAATTTAATACTAAACAAAACTTGCTACCTTAAACTGCCCTGACTTCAGCAGCTCGAGGGACCAGGGAGTCATTTTTTAAGCTGCCATAATCCAATCACATCTGGTTATGTGCCAGTATCCATATTGACATTGTTTGGATCCACAGAAGGTAAAGTTACCACCAGGCAGACTTCAATGTGTGTATAACCCATCACAGGAATTGCAAAAGACTGCAGACCCCTTAGGAAAACAGTCTGTATTAAAACAGAGCGTGTCACTTAGAAGATACACAGTTGAGATACAAAATGAACTTCAAAGGCTTCCTTCACTGCAGATTTTTTCCCATAGCTGCTACCACTGCCTGGAGTCCTCTCTGCAGCAGTGCAACTTCAGCACTGCCTCCTGGCCCTTTCTGTCGGCCACAGCACTTCTGGACAGCTTTTACAAGACAATACTTGCATAAGTACAGCCACAAAGATGAGGAATTTGAGTTCCCTTAGTCTCACACTGTGTGCTCCCCATTCTCTGTGCTCACAGGTTCATCAGAGACACTATGGGTTGTTAGACCGTAGAGCCTGGCTCTTCCTCGTAGCTCTTGAGATGGTTAATCTCAGTTTATTGGCAGAACACTGGGAAAAGCTGGCTCCATCTCCCGCTCTGTGGTGGAACATGAATCTTCAAGATTGAAAATCTGGCGTTTTTCACCCACACTGAATCAATACTATAAAGGGGGAAAAAAAGAGGCTTGTTGATATTTTTTTTAGCGCTAATTATCTTAATGTGGGCTTTGCTAATGTATGCAATGCTTCCCATGACTGTTAGCAGAGCTCTCCATACACAGTCCAAACCATGTAGAGCACGAATAGGCGTTCAGAAGGAAGTTTTGCAAGACACGGTATTGTAAAGCTGAAACATCTGTTTCTCCTGTTATAGCTAAACAGTGCAACAAGCTTTTGTTAGGAAAATAAACTTTCCCTTCGTTTTACTAGTTTCTGCTCTTTTCCATATGCAAATTTGGAATGAAAACAAAAATAAGTGAATTATTGAAAAATCATCCTCAGATTTACTATATGAAAGAAATACCTGATGAAGCTTACTAGCCGCATCCATCTGTATTTAAAGCAGATGACCTGCGTAAGAGACATTTGACATATAGAAACGTATTAGTGTGTAGATAATATAAGCGTACGCTATAATCTGTTTTCATTACTTTAAATAGCTGCTTTTAAATTCAGTTGACTGCGTGAAGTTAAATATATGCATTTGTTTTATTTTTGGAAGGAGCTATTTCCACTTTAGGTGAAGCTAGTACACGAGGCTGCATTAAAATAGCTGTGAAGGATAATTATATAACTCCACTTCCATGACACTTCTTCAGTTGGTAGCAGAAGGTTTCACAGGCCATTCACAAATCTGATAACCATTTCATAGAAAACAATAATATCATGCACACACATTTAGCAGTTGAGTGTGTCTGTGTGTGAGGCACTTTGCCTGCTGCTGAAGCAGAAGCACAGCTGAGGTGGAAAGCAGCAGCTGCTTGAGAACACAGCTGTGGGACATGACTGAACACCACCAGGTCAAAACTGTACTTGAGGTGAAGTGGATGATCTGTGTGATGAACCACATGATGATGCTGGATCGTGGCATCTGCTGCTGCATGAGCCCTGAGCACACTCGTCCTGGCAGAGGCATTCCCAGTCTGCTGGCAGGGAAGGCAACACCGTTGTCTATAGTGTGGAGAATGAAGTTCTGCTCTTTTTGCCCCTTCACCCTCACTCTCCCCCTCTGTTTCTGCAGTCACGCAAAGTGTAATTTACAGCACTATTTACATCTATTTACATTTACTAATTATATTCCATTCAAACTGCCAAGGAAAATTTGTCAGAAGAAAGTAATTACTCAAAGCTGGAATTTGGCCAGCAGTGAGATTAGTTCCCTTCCATTTTGCAAAAGAGCACTATAGGATCTAACAGAGCCGAGTGCTTCAGGTAGCAGCTGGGGACCCAGTCATGCCCCTGAGGTACTGTGGAGCCCTGCCTAGGGCTCGGTATGTGCAGGTGGGCTTTGTGGGGGCACTCGGGCTTTCTGGAGCTCCAGGTTATCCATGGATTGTCCATGCCAGTCCTTCCTGGGAGGTAGGTCAGTCTGGTGGCCAGAAGCTGTGGCAGGCTGGAACATGTCTGCTGGCTCTGGGGCTGCACCCTGGGAGCTTTGCCTTTTACTGTCATTGCTCATTGTAGTTGAAGGTGGGGTGTCCTGTCTAGGATCTATGCTTTCAATTGATTCTGCCTGGCACAGGCAGAATCTCTCCTATGTGGAGGTACTAGTGGAAAATGCTGCCCAAGCAAGCCAGAGCTGCCCACTGACACCCCCTACATCCCCATTTCCAGCACAGAGGTCACTCTGGGGAGGGAAGTACTCTAGGGTTAGTTTTTGTAACCTCTGCCTTGCTCTAGAGCCCAGTTTGAATCAAGATGCTGAATAGCCCCCATACATGCTTGCATCAGCTAGGGTGACTTTCTTATTTCCATCCCATCAGGAGTTTTAAGTGCAGTTGCTCTGCTTAAGCTCTCTTCATCAGCTTTTTCTTGACCTCAGGGTTTACACATGCCAATGCTGTGTGCACAAAAGTCCTGCATTAGCACACTCACAATCAGGAGATCTGGCATCTGCATAAGAAGACAGGCTGAGAAAGATGGGGCTGTTCAGCCTGGAGAAGAGAAGCTGCATGGAGACCTCAGAGCAGCTTCCAGTATCTGAAGGGGGCATATAGGGATGCTGGGGAGGGACTCTTCATTAGGGACTGTAGTGATAGGACAAGGGGTAATGGGTT